CCATTTGATATAATAGATATCGCTGAAAAAAAGAGTCACTTATGAAAAATTGGATCAAGTGTTTGTTGGCAGGAAACATATAAAGAGCATTTGATGTATGATTCCCTGTAAAGCCAATATCATTGGTTCCATTTAACAGAAGTTTTTGTGTTGGGTTAATTTTTTTTAAAGAAATAACGTGCCTATTTGAAGAAACAGGGGCGATCATCAATTGTTCTACTGACTGCTTACCAAAACTCAAATCCCTTTTTATCTTCTACATTAGAGAGTGTACTAATCTGAACAGGACGAAATAAGGAAAACTTCTGTGCACTTATCATAAAAAAATAACTTAGAATTCTTGTACTAATCCAGATGACACAGTATTTTCTTGAGCATTGCTTCAAATAGAATTGCTTAAGCTATGTAAGTCCCAAGATGTCTCCGTACGAAAATTACTTATTTCAGAAAATTGATGACGGTTGACTTGTAAAACTAGTTGAATATTTTTAATTACCACGATCATGGTGAAAAACAACCATACACTACATATGATATGAATTTAATTGAGAATAAATACTCCTAAGTTAAGTCAACTGACCGTTCTTACTTTCATAGATCCTTGAGATCCATTGCCTTTTATTTTCCTCAACCTTTCATACCTGAAAAGAAGTAAAGTTTTAGCTCATTATTGAGAAACGATTCTTGATTGGTGCTAGCGATTGAACATAGAACCGTCAAATTCACAATTTAGCCAAATATTGTAAGACAAACTAGATCTTGACCCGCGCATCGGCGCGGGTTTAACTTAATTTGGAAAAGCATAATATATTCATAAGTCATCGGTTATTACCGTATTTCAAAAACTTTGATCGTATTGAATGTAATAGGACTGGGGTTTGATTTTGGGTTCAACTTTTGTTGGATTCTTTATGTTCGTAGTTTTTTTAATTCTACAGATATAAGATCTGTTCTGTTATCTATATAAATTGATTTGCGTCCGGTTCGATTCTTTTGGTTTGAGCTGAGTTTGGTAATAATTATAATAACCGACTAATATCAGATAAANTGATCGTATTGAATGTAATAGGACTGGGGTTTGATTTTGGGTTCAACTTTTGTTGGATTCTTTATGTTCGTAGTTTTTTTAATTCTACAGATATAAGATCTGTTCTGTTATCTATATAAATTGATTTGCGTCCGGTTCGATTCTTTTGGTTTGAGCTGAGTTTGGTAATAATTATAATAACCGACTAATATCAGATAAAGTTTTGGTTCCAATATGATAACGGTTTGGTTACGATTTCTAGGATTAATTTTAGATTAATCGGGGAAAAACTGATTTTGGGGGGGGGATAGGTGTTTCAGATAAATATCCAGTTACGAAAACAAAATTTTAATATTTTAGTTAAAACTATTCAAATATTTTGTGTCTTTATGATAATTTGAATAATGTAAAATACTTTAGATAAAATATATTTGAGTATTAAATTATTTGAAATGTAAATTGTTATTAACTTAAAAACTGATGTTATTTTTAATTTAGTCAACAATAAATAAAATTGAATATGGTCTTTATATAAAATATAAACTAAAAACACAAATTACTACAATGGGCCAAATGATTAAAACCAACCATAACATAAAATAAATTAAACAAAAGCCTAATTCTATTATAACAATGTTTAAAAGCCCAACTCCTTTAAACTTATAGCCAAACAACATTAAACTCTTTATTACTACTATTTAAGTTTCCAAACAAACATAAAGAGTACTACAACTTTAATAAGATAGATGACCGAGAGAATGCAAAAGGTCATCATATATTAATAATCCAATATGAGAAGAATCATTATCCAAAATTTGTTTTCACTCTCGGGTCTTCTCAGAATACTATGACGTAAGGATACTATTTTAAAATTAGAAAACATTAAAACCACGATTTAATATTCATAATATATCAAGAACAGGTTTCTGCTGAGGTAATTTTAGACTGAAAGCTGGGAAAATTTAAACATGTAAACACGCCGCCGAAGAGCTCTTGTTTTCTCTTTAAATGCTGAAACCGCAATCCTATATGTAGAAATCGATCGAAGAAACCAAAACTGCAAAAAGAAAAACAAACTGGAGAATCGTAAATGTTGAGGAAATGTTCTCACATATATATAGTAGGAAAGAGTCGGTGAATTCATTATATAACTTTGGACTTTATTGATATAAACTTTTGGGCCAACTTTAAATATACTGTCAAAACGTTAAGAAATCAATGATAAAAGCCCATACACTTACTGACTAACTTTATTCTTCGGTAATATGTTTCTAAGAGATCCACATATCAAACTCTTATTTCCTTATTTAATGACGTGGCATTCTCTAGAAGGAATAAACTATATTTTATATATAAAATTATTTACTTTATTTATTAGATATTTTAAGTTAATTACTTTATATATAAAGTAAGCCACTTTATGACACTTTCCGAAGATATTTAATGACAAGTTAAACGGGAAAACTATGATTATTCATTTATTAAACAATGGACTTAAATTGTCAGCGAGCGAAATTATCATTAATAACTACGAAGTATACGTTCATAGATACTGGTTTTTTCTTGTCTAACTATCTCCTGACCATTTTATTATTTCACATCGAAAACGTCTGATTTGAAGTAGAATTGGATTGCATAAATTTAAATCACTCCTACAAACGTTTACCTTAAGCATAATTTATTTGATGGCTTCAAACGAAAAGCCCTTGCAAATCCCAGACGTATTTTAAAACAAAAAAAAAACAACATTGATGCAAAAGCATTATTCAAATAGCAAATAGCAGGTCCAGATACTTCATTAGCTTCACCTATGTGGGACGTGTCTTTCTTGACCACCTTTGAAGATGCTTCTGCGGGAAGCTTGTTGGTGTCGACACTATATAGTAGGTGCCTCCTCACGATTGTTACTATCAACGTCCACATTAGTAGGCACTGAGATGAGCCCAAGCATATCATCTCCATGATCATCATTGCCATCCTGTTAAGAGACAGACCCATCTCATTATTGTCATACAAAGGAAAGAGCGAATTAGTATATAGGGTGAGGGAGTGTTTTGGATAAGTAACATAACAATCAAGATGTGGCATTTAAGAACAGACGGCCAGCAATATAATGATTGTTGAGTGCTCTAAGAACGTCATATTCAGTTATCCGAAACAGAGAATAAGATAGAGAGTACCTCCTACAATCTTAGGATTTAGGTTTGTTGCTACAACAATTCTTGGATCACTTCGAAAGCCGTCTAAGTGGCTATGAAACGCCACAACTTGTGAGTCAAACATACTCAAAGTCACAGACAAAAACTACAAAGGGAAAAACAGAGCAAGGAATGTTTATGTAATACCAAATAAGGCCGTCTGTAATTATTGGGGGGGGGGGATAAATCAATATGAATTAGATAGATACTTGTCAGTTTTTATTGTTGCCATGACATGGTCTTTTCCTTGTGGAAGATCACTGACTGTACTCTTGACAGCAGTGAGCTCACTAATATTGTCTGCAAGAAAATTGACATTTAGAAGTTTGGGATAAACAGCTAGTAGTATGATTACCTGAAAGTTGGGTGTTGGCTAGACCAAGAAGTTCACAGAACCCGAAGTGTTCTTCAAGAATTGAGGAAACCAGTTTGGTTATCTCATCGAAAGCTTTTGAACCACTGAACCGAATGAAAAGAGGAGTTCTAGAGACTGCAATTCTGATTGCACTGAGTCACAAAAAATCTGCTCAAGGAGTACATACAAGTTACAACCCGCCTTAAAAAGATGCTTGTAGGTGGTGAGACGGTGGACGTTGATGGTGGTCAGCATGAGTGTAGCCTGATAACATGAAAGAAACAAAATATTAATAACCAAATGAATTCGAAACAATTTATCAAAGAAGAAAAAAAAAACTGAAAACATGATTTTCATAATTCTGAATTTAAAAGCAGATGTTTTTCAAATACTAAGATGAACATGAGGATGAAGAAAGGAATAACCTTAGCGCTACCGCGTGAAGAACAAAGGGTGGATCTCAAATCTGCGATTACCATAGAAGATTTAGCCATGACGTTTAAGAGTAGCATTGGATGAGGGATGGTGAGGATAATGTTAATGAGATGAATTCTGACCTTTTTATAGATGGAGATGAGTAGCATTGGATGAGTAAACATGGTTTGGGTGGGTCTAAGGATTTAAGCAGGCTGTTAATGGCGATGAATCACTTCATCTCGTAAATAATCAAAGGATATGAGTAGCAACCGGAACGAAAGTAACAGAGATCGAAACTGATATTCCACATGAATATTGGTCTCCGACAACCTTCCAGAACCGCCATGGTAGGCTGACGTCTTCGAAGATGGATAAAACGTAAAAACCCTAATCTTCAGTCAACGCAATCGAAGAAGACTGAATGTTAAACGTTGTTAGCTTTTTGTGAGTATTATGTAAAAGCCAACTTATGTTTTTCTCATCCCAAAAACCAACGGCAGCTTGTATAAAATAAACAAAATGAAAGGAATAAAAAGATAAATCGACACGTGTCAGCTCGGGATAAAGTGAATTTTTGACATGACATAATAGTAAGGAAAAAAAAGCTTCTTTTATATAATTAGATATATATATATATATATATATTTTTTTTAAAATTATGATATTTTTAAGTTTCCAGGAAATACAATCTGAAATATATATTTGGGAATTTGTGAAGAATACCATTTTCCTTATACACATTTTCAACTTTACACTAATCACTTTTAGCTTTGAAATTTTAATGGGAAAATACTGTTTTATCCCTACTTAATTAAACTAAAAGCAAGCTATACATTCTCGTTATTCTTTTTCTCTCCGACGGAAAGATTGCGACGTGGAGCCCTCTCGTAGCTGAGGCGGTTGCGGAGAGAGGATTGGATGAGCTGGTGTAGCTCTTTCTTGAGGTGGAGGTTGAAAGATTGGAGCTCGGTGTTCTCTAGACGGAGCGCTTCCGCTTCCAGAGATGCCTCGTGGAGGCGCGTGTAACACAGTGCCTCTCGATTCACCATATCTTGGCGTCGCTGCTGCATCACGACGCCTCTCTAGCATCTTGGATGGATCACCTTATCCGATTGCAAGTCTCTGTTACCGAATCTCGACGAGAACTCGCTTGTGTATTTAGGACACAAAGAGGATGAAGATTTAGTGTATTGGGCAGTTGATTTGTCTTCTGAACAAGAACACGGCGTCGTTTTGAAGTTGGGAAGTAAGAAGCTCTGTTTCTTTGAGGTTAGGACATTAATGGTAGCTGCTGATTGGGAGGATCAACAAGCTATGGATGAGTTAGCTATTGCAGGACATGTATGTTGTTAGCTTAAGCTTCTTTAAAGTCTCTTACTTTATATACGTAACTATGACTATGTGTTATTATTATATAATGACAGGCGAGAGCATTGCTTGAGTGGCATAAAGTGTCACGCTTTTGTGGAGCTTGTGGAGGTTTAACTGTTCCAAAAGGAAGCTGGGAGAAGAAAACAATGCTCAAATGAGGCTTGTGGAAAGAGGGTTTATCCCCGGGTTGACCCGGTGGTTATAATGTTGGTTATTGATCAAGAGAATGATCGTGCGCTTTTGAGTAGACAAGCTAGGTTTGTGCCGAGAATGTGGAGTTGTTTAGCTGGATTTATTGAGGTATGATAGATACACTGCTAAGCCATCTCTGTTGTATGTTATTATTGTTATATATGATGATTTTGCTAGCCAGGGGAAAGCTTAGAAGAGGCTGTGAGGCGAGAGACATGGGAAGAGACTGGGATTGAAGTAGGAGAAATAGTCTATCACAGCTCTCAACCTTGGCCTGGTAACAGTTGTTGGTGTAGAGTTTCTTGAAATATTGACACTACTGCAACATTTAGTAGCTTAGGGACTTGTTTCTAATGACAAAAGTGCTTTGGAAATGAGGCTATACTTGTCTTGAAATGAGGCTATATCAATGGTGGTTTTGGATGGGATTAACTTTGAGAGTTTCCGTGAAGATTTGCTAAGTGTCTGTGCTACTGATGTTGAAGAGCTTGTGCTCCTGAAATTTCGCAAAACCTGGTGGTTTAAGTTTAGGAATAGATGTGTACTGGAGCTCTATGTGTTGTCGCGTAAGTTATCCTCGCCTCTGTAATTTTTGTTTGCTTAGATTGTTAATTACAGTATTTGGCATCGTAAGGTCACAGAGAAAGAGTACCAAGAGAAGTCTACTTTTGCACATTGTTTACTCCAAACGCAAGGTTTGTTGTCTCTGGACTAGCTCCAGCTTCTGAGTATTGCTTCAAGGTTGTGTCCTTTAGCGGAACACGAGAACTTGGAGTCGATGTGATCAATGTAAGGACTTGTGTCCCTGAAGAAAGAAGCGAAAGCCTCTCACAAACTGTAGCACATTGTCTTCTAACCCTTCTTCTGTTGAAGCTGAGTCCAGTGCTCCTCAGACATACAAACCTGGGGAAAATGCTACAAAAAGAACAATGGAGGCAGAGATTCTGAAGACTGAGAAGAACGCTGAAGGGATTGTGTTGTTGGATGAGGAGAAAGAAACTGTTCAGGACAAGAACGTCGCGGTTACTACAACCAATGGAAACAGTTCTCCAGTTACTCCTCTCAAGTTAGACCAAACCAAGAACCGTCAAGGTAGAAACAAGAAGTCAGTTAAAGATAACGGTAACAACAACGGTGATCATCATTCGGAAAACGGAGGAGCAGAGAGTGGATTAGAGCACTGTGGGAAGATCATAAGACAGCTTGAGATTTTATTTATTTAAAAAGTATTTAGCTTCTTTCTGTTTTTTTGTTCTTTTTCAAACGTACTTAAAGGTATTGTTTAAAACGTTTAACAGTTGTTGGGTGATATATTACTGGACCGATCAAATTCAGCTGTGATAAATTTTAGCTCAAGGGAGACCTTGAGGATTCTCATGAATCTTCTGAGAGTATGTCGCTTTACCCGAATACCTTCCTCAAATGTTTTGTTCTTGATGATAATAGTTTTGCGAAATAAACTCAATCTCTTTTGAATTACGGGAGTCAAGCAAGAGCATACAGATAGAAGCATTCCATGTTTTCAAGGTATATGGTTTTGTATCTTAAAGCAATGGAACATAATCATCATTTGCTATGATGATTGTCCTGCTTGTTTAATTGTTGTTCCGACGTGATTGAATGAGATTGTCATTACTGTTGCCCAGCTGTTTGTGGCGAACCAAAACAAGCCTGCAGATATAGCCAACATTCTGGTGGAAAACAAGAGCAAGCTTTTGAGAGTGTTGGCGGAATTGAAACCAGACAAAGGTATGCAAGTCCTTTATAAGTGACAACAGGCTTTGTGTTTGATTTTTTTCCTCCTTGATAAATGCTTTGTTTGGCAGAGGATGAGAGGTTTGAAGCAGACAAAAGTCAGGTCTTGAGAGAAATTGCAGCCCTTGAGCCGCAAGATCTTGCTTGAACCAAACCAACCAAAATCGCTTTTCTTTCCCTTTTTTAAACATTCAAAAGACATTTTTGGAGCATCAAAGGTTGTTGTTGTTTCTTTATTAGGTAACAAATCTCTCTCACTTTCTTTTACACATGTACACAGACGAGATATTTATTTGATTATGTAATTACTTGTACATATTTAACTGTTAATGAAATAAAATGGTTTTGTCAAACGCGTATAAGTTCACATGTACACATGATGAAGGTGTAAGAGAAGAGCAGGAAACAAGGCTTCTAGAGCCCTTCAACCTCAACAAATAACAGAGATCAAATGTATGATTTTAATCTAGGAATACATGTAGAAACCCGGAATACAAACCAAAACTAACCAAACAGAAAGCTGATTAATAACCCGGTTAATTCTCTCTCTAATCTTTGTACCAACTATCTTTATGCGTATTGAGACCGGCCACCCTTTTCATCTCTTTATGACTATACCAAAGCAAAGGCTTCTCGTACGGCACCAGATATCTTTAAAATGTTGCTTTGGAGAGTCGAACTCCACTATGCTATAAATGTTTATACATCATTTTGTATTGATTTATAAATCCATTATAAATATTTAAAATGAGTCTTATAAATAATTTATAAGCTTTTAAAATAATGTTTATAAATTATAAAGCCTTATAAAAAACTAATAATAATTTACAAATGATTTTATAAATATTTATAAATGATCTATAAACCATTATAAATAATTTATAAACCCTTATAGATGATTTATAAACTCTTATAAATGATTTATAAGCCTTTATAAAATGTTTTAAGACTTTATAATTGAATTATCTTTAGAATTTCTACAAATCCTTATAAATAATTTTATAAACCCTTATAAATAATTTTATATATTCTTATAAATGATTTATTGATTATTATAAAAAAGTTTCTATATATTTTTATAAACTGTTTATAAAACAGATTTAAAAGGGTTTATAAATGATACAAACCCTTTTATATAAATTCTTAAAAATGAAATACCAATTTTTTGCACATTTATAAAATTTTATTAATTGATTTATAAGGGTTTATAAATTTATTTATTAGAATTTATAAATTGATTTATAAGGATTTATAAATGAATTTATAATGGTTTATAAATGAATTTACAAGTGTCTATAAATTAATTTATAAATGTTTATAAACTGAAATAGAATAAACTGAATTTTTTTCTGTGTTATAAAGTGATTTATAAAGGCATATAGATATAGCTTGGCAACCTATATTGTCCATTAGTAAACATAGCGAGAATAACAAAGCCAGCCGGTTGTTCAAAAAAAAAAAAAAAAAGCCAGTTTGTTGGAGCAGCCTACTGTCTAAAATGCATGCTAAAGGGAAAACTAAGACAAGAGTTAAAGAAAGAACAATTTTGTATCATACAAGCTTGCCACTTTCAGAGAACCATTTACCAAATAGAGAGTGAGCATTGACTTTAACCAATTGGCAATGTGGATATCTGGCAAAGGAAGTATAAATCAAAGTCAAATAGAAAAATAATAGAAATAACACATCAATATAAATTCTTCTGACAGAGAATCATTTAGTCTAGAAGAGGACCTGGAGTTGCACCGAATTGAAAGCTTTTGAGCCAATGCTTTGCAAAGAGATGTTTTGCCAGTCCCTGGTGGTCCGTGCAAAAGAACAATCCTGCATAAATTTACAACCATCATAGATGCTTCAGTATTAAATGGGGAACAGAAGGATTAAACATCAGATCTAGACACTGAAGAGACAAACAGAACTGTATGAAAGAAACTAAGCTTGCTAAGCAACTCAGTTATCTGAAGTTTTTTCATCAAAAATCTCATGGTGTAGTGTAGAATAGAAGCAGATAAAACATGTACTGAAAAAAAAACCATACCAATGTCACTCACATGTTCTATGAAACGAGATTTGGATTAACACCCTTCTGCGTGAACAACAAAGCACTTGCGGCGTAACGTAGTAACCGTTGCTTAAGTCCAGATTCATATATCAAGCTACACAAAACAAAACAAAACAAAACAAAACAAAAGCCAGACTACTGAATAAATTGTTTCATACCCATTACTGCTTTACAACCAAGTCAGGACCAGACTCTAAGACACACCTTTCCCATAAGCCATCAAACTCCTTAGCAGGAAGAATCCATTCACTAAAGCTAGAAGGTTGTCCATCAGAGAGCTTGCCCTGTTCTGCCTTTGGTCAGAGAGCTTTACAAGTTAAAAGAATCTTCCTTACCAATCATCAAGAACAGCTGCAACAGCTCAATTGAAGTTAGACTCAGCACGTGACAAATCCTTATGAATCATCCACACAAGCTCCGCGTACATGGCAAGAACATTCCCATCGTTAGGACTCACAAGAACAGCTCTCCCGCAATACTCCTCTTCTTTCAAGTAATCCTTCCCAACCTGTTTATAATCCATATATCACAATCCAATCCAAAGTTTCAAACTTTCAGATATAGAAGAGAAAAAGAGTAATAAAGTGCATATACCTCTTTCAATAACTTAGCCTAATTAATGAGCAAGATTCCGTTTCCAGGATTAGCTTCAACCTCTCCATCTCCATCATCACCACCAGATCTTCCGCCACTCCTTCCTTTTCATCTGCCACCGCTGCATCCAACCTCAGTATCATCCTCCAAAGCCCAGCTTAACCGTAACTCACCATCGTAAGAGGATGTGTGTATAACTCATCATGATTTTTCCAATCCAATCAATTTCGCATCCATCCATATCATCCAATCGATCGATTTCGCCTTCACCATGGAGGGCCTGAGCTTGTGAATCTATCGGGCATGATGTTGCAGTTCTGGTGCTTCGATTTCAATAAGGCGAATAAGGCGGAGGAAATCCAACGGAGATTCTCGACTTCTTCCACAGAAAATTAGGTCCATTTAAGTCATTTCCACATTAATGACGTAGGTATATTTGAAAATGTAATTCTATTGAAGGTGAAACTGAATAATGGTACAATAGAATGTGTAAAAGTGCAATTCTCCCTATATATTTTGATACTTTAGATTGCATTTCCGGTAAAGTTAAAAATTTCATAATCTAATACTAATATTAATATATACATACAAATAGATGTATTTTAAGAACTCTAAGCATTGATACCTCCATGAGGATTCTCATACATATAAATACGGACAAATCTCTAAAATAGCACATTTCTAAGTTTATGTCACAAAAATAGAGATTTGCCCGTATTTATATGTATGAGAATTCTCATGGAGGTATCAATGCTTGGAGTTCTTAAAATACATCTATTTAGAAATGTGCTATTTTAGAGATTTGCCCCTAAACCCTAAACCCTAATTCCCATCCCTTAACTCTAAGCCTAATGTCTAAATTAATTTATTATTGGGATATAAGTGTATATTTATCTCTTTTGATAAAACATTAAGTACTATTTTGATCATTTTTATTCTTAAATGCTATAGTTGTGACAGAAACTTTTTAGTGTTATCTTAGTCATTTTCTCTATAAATACTACCGTATCATATAAATCTTAGGAAAAGAATCTAAATTCAATACGGTCATAACTGTAACCAGTAAAAAGAAACAGATGAGATAAAATGAATAACTATTAATGAAATGAAATTAGTAATTCATTTATTTCAAAATTTTAATATGAAATTATTTTTCAAAAAAGGATGTTTTTAAAACTGATATGAAGCAAAAAATGTCCACACTATTTTTATAAAATAGTTTAGTTTTTTATAAAATAGCACATTTTAGATTATTAAAAATAAAATTGATATAACAAACGCATTTATTCAAATATGTATTTTGGGATAATTTGTAAATTTTCCTATTATCAGTTTGATATTTAAAAATTACCTCTCCTATTTTATTTTTTGAAACTTACACTTTATTCAATGTGAATTTATCTTTTTATCCAAATTGGATATTTCAATAACTAATATATAATTCGAAATTAATAATAATATGGGGAATTACTAATATTTAAGATAAATATGTATGTTGAGATAAATATGGTCATTTACCAAAAAAAGTTTAAAAATAATAAAGATATTTATAAATAAAACAAATTGTGATTTTTTTACTTTTTCATGAAGTTTATATGAATTTTGTTTTATTTTCTTAGTCTTATATAAACAAGTCCACACTCTACAAAAATATTTATTCTTCATAGAAGTCAATATATCTACTGAATAAGTTCTTAATTACTACTAACATTTGTTATAATTTTTTTATATTTTGAATATAATATGGTTAAGGTTTAATTTCTACATCAACATCTTCTATATATTATTCCCTATATTATTTTCGTACAAAATATGGCAAAATATTGTCTAGATTGTTTCAAAAATTTCAAAAAGTATTACATTGTTTCTCTAACAAGTTTTTAATTTTTATTTTAAGATTTAAAATAAATTATATTAAAAATTGTGAAATAATTAAGATTGGACAATTAAATAAATTTACATATACATAAGTATATTTTTCCAAAAACTTAAATAAGGGTGTAGTATTCAAATTATAATTTCATTTCAGTGCATTTTCCCAAATTTCCCCATTTTTTACTAACTATGTTTGATATATTTTTATAGGTAGGTTTGTTACAAATTTTTATATAAAATATTTTATTATTATTTTATTTGCGGGCCTTGCAAGTGTTTGAGCCAGCACTGGCTGAGACCGTGGTTTGAACTTTGAAAGAACGAGAACCCCCACCGGCGGAATTAAAGTGATTCAAGTTTTGCATGTTTTCTTTCGTTCAAAAAAAAAAGTTTTGCATGTCTTTTTTTTTAAACTAAAATTGAAATACAAATAAAGGATCTCGGTCTCGTGGCTGGCACAAACCGTAAAAGCAGCGACGCTGCTCTGCATATCAATGAAATATGAGAACCCAGGCGTTAACCTTGGACGGAGAAGCCAAAAAACTCCTACAACGTCTATGCTTTATGACGTTTAAGTTTTGCATGTTTTCTTTTTGCCACTTTGCTGAATTTGTTTGTATATGTTACACGTATACCTAGTTTTGTTCTTACGTGTAGTGATAAAAATGTACGCCGTGTTGGGTATATTAGTGGGATAACGTTTCTTGTAGCGGATAAGTTGGAAATTGGACTGCTAATATAAAAGTTAGCCTCCGTATTTAGAAAAGAGATTTGCTATTCAAACTTTGTATTTAGAAAGAGTTTTATAACTCTTTTAGAGAGAACTCTTTCTTTAAAACTACTACTTTTTATTTATGATTGCTTTTGCTTGTTGTGGGATAATCTTACAAGTGAGCCAATCATCCCTATTTATACTACTTAAGCTATCTCTAGATCCTTCTCTTAGTCTTATCCATAATTTCTTCTACACACTTCTTCTTCTTGGGCTTTTTGACTTTTGCTTTGAATCTTGGACAATTGGGAGAGCCCAAACCAAAGTTTATAATTCAACACCCCCTCTTAAACTTGGTTTGTCACTCCGAGCAAACTCCGCATCTTGATAAAATCTTCACGCTTGAGAGGCTTGGTAAAGATATCAGCTAACTGATCATTTGTCTTCACATACTCCAATTGCACTTCCATCTTGGTGACACATTCCCTAATGTAGTGATAACGGGTATCGATATGCTTGCTTCGATCATGGAAAACTGGATTCTTCGCCAATGCTATTGCTGACTTGTTATCAACAAAGATCTTCGTTGGTTCCTCTTGTGGTAGACTCAACTCTTTTAGCAAGCTTCGTAACCATATAGCATGACAAACACATGAAGTAGCCGCCACATACTCTGCTTCACAAGTTGAAAGAGTGACAATTGGTTGCTTCTTTGACATCCATGTGAAGGCCGTCTCTCCAATGAAAAACACAAAGCCACTTGTGATTTTCTGGTCATCTACATCTCCTCACCAGTCGCTATCGCTATATCCAACAAGCTTGTAATCGTCAGAAATAGAATAATACAAGCCAAAGTTGCTTGTACCTTTGATATAACGTAGGATCCTCTTAGCTGCCTTGAAATGAGTTGTTGTTGGATGCTCCATGAAACGACTCACAACTCCAACCGCATGTAAGATATCAGGCCTTGTACATGTTAGATAACGTAAGCTTCCAACAAGGCTCTTGAAGAGCGTTGGATCCACACGCTCTCCTTCTTCTTCCTTTGACAACTTGACTCCACATTCCATTGGCGTGCAAACTGGATTTGAGTCATCCATCTTGAACTTCTGTAGCATCTCTTTAGCATAAGCTTCTTGAGTAATGAAGATTCCCTTCTCTTCTTGCTTTACTTCAATGCCAAGGTAGTATGACATCAATCCAATATCAGTCATCTCGAACTCCTTNCCATTGGCGTGCAAACTGGATTTGAGTCATCCATCTTGAACTTCTGTAGCATCTCTTTAGCATAAGCTTCTTGAGTAATGAAGATTCCCTTCTCTTCTTGCTTTACTTCAATGCCAAGGTAGTATGACATCAATCCAATATCAGTCATCTCGAACTCCTTTGTCATCTCCATCTTGAAATCTTCAAACATAATCGGATTATTGCCGGTGAATATCAAGTCGTCTACATACAAGCATGCAATCAATATATCATTGTTTTGAGTTTTGATATAAAGTGCATCCTCATATGGACACTTGATGAAGTCTTTCTCCTTGAAGTACTTATCAATCCGAGTGTTCCATGCTCTTGGTGCTTGCTTTAATCCATAAAGCGCCTTCTTTAGCCTCAAGACTTTGTCTTCTTCTCCTTTGACTTTGTAGCCTTGTGGTTGCTCAATGTAGACTTTTTCCTCAAGATATCCATTTAAGAAGGCTGACTTGACATCCATTTGATGGATCCTCCAATTCTTTTGGGCTGCCAATGAAATGATTAGCCTAACCTTCTCTAAGCGGGCAACAGGGGCAAACACTTCATCATAGTCGATTCCGGCTCTTTGACTATAACCTTTTGCCACCAATCTTACCTTGTACCTTTCCACTTCTCCTTTAAAGTTCTTCTTTGCCTTGTACACCTACTTCACACCAATTGCTTGATGCCCATTTGGAAGTGAAGATATCTCCCATGTATTATTCTTTTGAATCGACTTGATTTCTTCATCCATTGCACTTCTCCATGACTTCTTTTCTTGAGCTTCTTCAAAGTTCATAGGCTCGCAATCCGCAAATAGACTAAACAGAGTAAGATTGTCTTGATTTTCGGTAACTCCATAGATGTCTTGTAGACTTCTAAAACGTGGGATTCTTTCACTTGAGCTTTCATCTCCTTGAGAACTTGGTGTTGGTGAAGTTGGTGGTGTAGCTGGCTCTTCTCTTGGTTGCTCCAAATCTTCTTCTTCAAAAGATGGAAAGAAATTGTAGTCTTCATCATTTGAACTCCAATTCCATTCTTCTTCTTCTTCATCAAAGACGACATTCCGACTAGTGATTGTCTTCTTTGTTTTTGGATTGTAAAGCTTGTATCCTTTGGAGTTAGCATCATACCCAATGAAGATGTACTTCTCACTTTTATCATCTAATTTGCTTCGCTTCTCGTCTGGAACATGAGCATGAGCAATACTTCCAAAGACTTTTAGATGTGATACACCAGGCTTCCTTCCGCTCCAAGCTTCTTGCGGTGTCTTTCCCAAAACACTCTTTGTTGGAGAACGATTTGTTATATAAACCGCACACGCAACCGCTTCCGCCCACAACTCCTTTGGTAGCT